TTGATCCCAACAAAGCTTATACAGAAGAAAGACTCCATAGGCTGCATCTAAGTAACATTTCCTTAGCTGGAGCGGGGGGAGTTGCCCACCTCCCCCCTGGAGTTGAAAGGGGCATAACAGAGCTTTTGTTGAAGTAATAAGTGGGTAGGCTGGGCTTACTTAAGCAATTAGACTGCTCCTACTATCATCTCTGCTTACAGGTTTTCCGTTCCTGTGTTTTAAAAGTCTGTTTAACCTATTTGACAGCAGATGGGCAGTACATTATGCTTATCTGAGCTGCTGTGGTTGGCAGGATATAAATATTTTAATAAATAAAACATATAAATGTACAGAATGGGAAATGAATGCTACTTCTAGCCTATCACCTTCAACTTTCCCAATAAGAAAATAAAGCAACAGAAATATTGTGAACTAGAAAAGTAGTGGTACTTGGTGGGCAAGGATACCCGGCCTCCTGCTATAATGGGAGGCCTCACATTACCCTGTTTTGTTTCGGGGAACAGAATGCACGCTGGCATTGCACTAGCATGTTTATGTCACTTCTGATTAAAAACAAGTGACACGGCAGAAACTAGAGCATCCACCATGTTATTTCCATTTTTACTAGAACTGGGGTTGCTGGCTATGGAATGGTAGCTTATATGGTGAGTCAGAAAAGGGTTGCCAGGTCGCTCCTGGCAACCAGCAGGTGGTGGGAGGACTTATCAGGAGTAGGAGGAGGCCCAGGCTATTTTGCTGGTGGTGTGTACCAGAAGTGACATCACCACATCGCGACACTATGGTGATGCTATGCTTTTGGGCAAAACCTCTATGGTAAAAATGGCTTCTACTATAGAGGTTTTGCCCAAATACCAGAGCATTGCTGGGACATCACCAAGGTGATTACATCACTTCTGGTACATATTGGAAATAGCCTGGGCCTCCCTCTTGTTCCTGGTAAGTCCTCCTGCTGGCCAGTTAATCATGGGGGTGGGGCCCAGGAGTGGGGGATCCCTCCTTCCAGTGGGAGGCTGGCAACCCTAGGCAGAAAGTGCCTGCAGGAACTACCTCCAGCCTCTGCATGGCAATCAACAGGAAAGGGAAATGCCTGTATTTTTACCAGCAACTTTTGGGAGGTAGCTTAGGAGGCAGAGGCCAACTCACTGCACCATGCAAGTATGTGCTTACTGACTAGCTAGTAGCCTTTGTGAAGGACAGTGCCCCCCAACCACACGGTGAGCTGCTAGCCAATAAGCAGCCATGTGCTTGCATAGTGATACCTGAGCTGCACCCTTTTCCACCACTGCCTCCCAATCAGTGCTGCTAAAGATCTCATCCCAGGGATGGGATTAAAACACAAAAAGAAAGTAACCCCAGTAATATGTGGTCACTACTGTCAATGCACCACCATCCAGACAAATACAAGATTCTATAAGCACAAAAATATATATATTGAGCAAACTAAAGCAAAAAATAAATTGAAATTTCATGTTCTGAGCCATAAGCATGTGTGTTCTATGGCTTGTTGCCATAATAAATGCCTGACTGACTGACTGTTCTGAGCCATTCAGAGGTGTTTTTTTTTAACTGACCTAAAATAAATAAAAAGTTTAAATGAGACCCCACAATAATAATAAGGTAGATTGTCCCTGCCTTCTATATTAGGGCAGGTCCACCTTGAACTCCACCTGTAAGATTACAATCCTAAAAACACTTGCCTGGAAGTAAGCTCAACTGAATGAAACAGGACTTACTTCTGGAGTTGACCTGCTTAGGACTGCACTTTAAAGTCACCCTGAAATAGCAACAGGTAGTTCCCCACCAGAAGAGCATCTCACCAGCAGTGTTTCCTCTAAGCTGAGTTTGTGTGAGCTAGCTCGCAGTTTTTTAGCCTCTGACTCACACATTTTTATCTTAGCTCAGGAAGCATGCAGCAGCAGCCAAATTTCTCGCTCACAACTTAAATGTCAGT